TAGTTTCTCAAAATGTTCAACATAGAGTTACCACATTATCCAGTAAATCCACTCCTATGTACAAACTCGAATTACAAACAGCTATTCACATAAAAACCTGTACATGAATATTTATAGCAGCACTATTTATAAAAGCCAAGAAATAGTAGTAATACAAATGCCCATCAGTTGATAGATGGGTAAACAAAGTGTGGCACATCCATACAATAGAATTATTTAGCCATAAAAAGGAACAAAGGCAGTATTGGTCCATGCTACAATATGGATAAACCTTGAAAGCATTATGTTAGGTGAAAGAAGCAGTCACAAAAAAACTACACAGTGTGTGATTCTATTTATATAAAATGTCCAGAAAAAGGCAGATCCATAAAGAAAAAGTAGATTGGTGGGTGCCAGGGACTGACAGAAGGGAAAATAGTGACTGCTAATCAGTATGGGGTTTTTTCTTTGTGGTGAAAAAAAGTTCTAAAATTAGATTATAGAAATGGTTGCAAAACTGTGACTATACTCAACTCCACTAAATTGTATACTTCATTTTAAAATTTTAATTATTTTTATTTTTAAATTTTTATTACTTTTATTTTTTTATTTTTTGTATGTTTAGTAGAGATGGGGTTTCACCATGTTGGCAAGGTTGGTCTTGAGGTCAGCAGCTCAAGTGATCAGCCAGCCTTGACCTCTCAAAGTACAGGGATTACAGGCGTGAGCCACCATGCCCGGCCTGAATTGTATACTTTAAAAGGGTAAATTTTATGGTGTGTAAATTACATCTCTGTAATGCTATTAAACCAATTAATGATATACACAGAAGGTTCTAAAGAGGAATGTGAGGTGGTATTTTTCCATAACAGCATCAAGTTCTATTTAATGTCAGCCCTCACTCACTAGATATATCTCAGTACACATGACTGATAGGTGAATTAACTGAACAGTAAACAAGAAGTGAAATCTGTCTAACATCTAGATCAATGAAAACAGACCTGGAACTAGTCTTTTATCTTGGAAAGCAATTGCTTAAGCTTAAAGACTCCAAAAAGAAATCTACAAGACAGAAACAGCCAACTATTGTTCCCATCCTCCAACTTCAATGGGAAATGCAAGAAAATTAGAATTATCTGGCTCCAGTTACTAGAAAGCACACAGTTAAATCTAAGTGCCTATTTGTGTTCTGGGAAAAAATTGGAAATAATCTATATTTGCGTCGTAAGTTAAAATTTATAACTATGCTAAGTTATCAATTATCTAAAATCTAACTTTAAGAATGGTTACAAAGGTCTTCAAATACTGTTTAAGTATGTGTTCAACTTAGTCTTGAGACAATCAGCTTATAAAAATATACTGTTTTACGATACAACAAATATATTGAATTAAATTTGTCTTGGCATTTGGCATAGATTACTGAGAAAACTGTATGCATTCTGGAGCTTTCTATTAACATTACTACTAATAAAACCTACCCAACATTTATTGCTACTTTTAGCCAGCACCAAGTGAAGTGCTGGGAATGCCAGTGATGAAGAGAATATATTAATAGGAGATGATCTTCAGAGTCTAATAAAATGGTGGGAAAGATGATTATAAATCAACAGTTCTAAAAATGTGATAAATGTTATAATAGAAGGGAGTTCCAGGAACTCTGTCTGAATGATACCAATTCCAATTACAGGGTTTTCTGACTGTTTTTATACCTGTAAGATCTTATACCTCTCCAGAAATGGTGTTCAGTCAATATCTGTTGAATTGAAACTCAAAGGCAGGCTTGATATTATTAAAAAATAGAAGATAAAATGGGAAATTAAAAATAGAAAGTAAACTAGAAATACTATTTGACCCAGCCATCCCATTACTGGGGATATACCCAAAGGGTTATAAATCATGCTGCTATAAAGACACATGCACACGTATGTTTTTTGCGGCACTATTCACAATAGCAAAGACTTAGAACCAACCCAAATGCCCATCAATGACAGACTGGATTAAGAAAATGTGGCACATGTACACCACGGAGTACTATGCAGCCATGAAAAAGGAGGAGTTCATGTCCTTTGTAGGGACATGGATGAAGCTGGAAACCATCATTCTGAGCAAACTCTCACAAGGACAGAAAACCAAACACCGCATGTTCTCACTCATAGGTGGGAACTGAACAATAAGATCACTTGGACACATGAAGGGGAACATCACACACCCACACACCAGGGCCTGTCATGGGGTGGGGAGATGGGGGAGGGATAGCATTAGGAGATATACCTAATGTAAATGACGAGTTAATGGGTGCAGCACACCAACATGGCACATGTATACATATGTAACAAACCTGCACGTTGTGCACATGTACCCTAGAACTTAAAGTATAATAATAATAAAAAAGAAAAACTATTATATAGTTTTAAAAACTACCCAAAGAAATGTCTCACATCTCATTTTGTGGTGAACTCTTTAAGAAAAAGCCACTTATGAATTTGCCCTAGAAAATAACGAAGGTATCGAATTGTAGTAGATTTTACTAAAGGCCTGAGACCACTCTCTCTGGGAAATATGTTAACTTTAGAATCAACAAAAACGGACTCTCCCTGTTTAAGGGTTAGTCTGTAAATGTATGCAACAACCATATTCACTTATCTCCAAGGTTGAAACTGTAAATTCAAAATCCAGTGACTATTCAAAATTTGTTCATTAATTCATCTGTTTTTTGCCATTTCCAATTTGTTTTTCTACTGGACCTGATCAAGTGATCCATGCTTGGCATACAATGTCACTCTGCAACCCTCTGGATTAAAGGTTCCTTGGCAAATTTTCTATTGCTGCTCATCCACCCATTGGGAACTCTCCTTGGCCTCCCGGTCTTATAGGGTCATCTTGAGATGAATTGAAAATGTCTGTATAATTTACATTTTGTTAGTAAAATGCCCTATACTATGCTACTTGCTACTCCATTCTTGACCTCCTCCATACAAAAAAGTTATTTTAGCTCTGGCCGATCAACATCCTTCATAGTCTATTTTCTGCTCTTCACATTTATGCGAATTTGTTATTTAAGACAACTTGAACTTTGTCTTTTCTTTCTATTGTTACACTTCTAAATTTTCTGCTACGGCTTTCATTTGAACAGGTAAAAAGGTTAAAATTCACTTTAATTTATCTTCAATAAAATGCTGTTTAGTGACATAAAAGTTGTTGGCCTAAAAGCACTGATATCAACCAAGGTCGAAATAGCAATATTAAATTGGGAGCATTACTTAGAGAAGTTGATCTGAACATCAGGAGAATTTCAGAAGCTTGCTTCAAATAAAAATTCTAAGATCTCATCTCAGATCCAGTGGATAAGATCCTGGGTGGGGACAGGGGACACTGTAAATCTGTACTGTAAACAGGCTTCCTAGCCATTTTTTTTTTTTTTTTTTTTTTTTTTTGAGACGGAGTCTCCCTCTGTGGCCCAGGCTGGAGTGCAGTGGTGCGATCTTGGCTCACTGCAAGTTCCGCCTCCCAGGTTCAGGCCATTCTCCTGCCTCAGCCTCCCAGGTAGCTGGGACTACAGGTGTCCACCACTTCGCCGGCTAATTCTTTTTTGTATTTTTAGTAGAGTCGGGGTTTCACCATGTTTGCCAGGATGGTCTCGATCTCCTGACCTTGTAATCCACCCACCTCGGCCTCCCAAAGTGCTGGGATTACAGGCGTGAGCCACCGTGCCCAGCCCCTAGCCAATTTTTAAGTACAGTAAGTCCTCACTTAATGACGTCAACAGGTTCTTGAATACTAAGACTTTAAGTGAACTGATGTATGATGAAAACAATTTTACCACAGGCTAATTGATATAAATGAGAATTAAGTTGCTATGGCTTATTTCTGGTCACAAAAACATCATCAAAATTCTAAAGACCAAAACACTTTGAATATTTAACATTGAAACAAATGTGAGCTATACATACATTTAAGAAAGACTAATAAAAACAAGTAAAATAATTATTTACCCTCTTACTCCAGTTCAGGGTCATAGGTGGCCGGAGCCCCTCGCAGCTGGGAGCCCCACGGACAGGATGACATCCCATCGCAGGGCACTCACACTCGCTCACACTGGGACCACACAGATCTACCAGTTCGTTTCACTTGCACAGTTTTGAGATGTGGGAGGAAACAGGAGTACCCGGCAAAAACCAACACAGACAGGTGGAGAATGTGCAGACTCCACACACAGTGGCCCCAGCCAGAAATCAATTGGTTTTTTTCTTATCAACATGATAATGAATGGGCACTGAACAAAACAATGTTATTGAAGGATCTACTGTACTACAGTTTGAGGACTAGGACTGTAGGCCCAGATATTTACGTTGCCCCTTTCCAGTAACATCTCTGGACAGCTGTGGCATGTGCCCAGCTGGGTGGTGGACTGGGAAGGTGAGGGTGGGTGGGGGGTGTGGCTAATGGTTCTTAGCAGAGTCAGAGGCCTGAAGCTGTTCAGGGAGCACTGTCCTATTGTGTGGGCCTCTTGCCCGCTTGCCCCAACCAGGTATAGCACCTCTGCCTTTGTCTGATCTATACACTGAGGTTCCCTCAGATTTGTCTCATCAAAGGGTTCTGCTAAAAACAAGTCTGAAAAATCAATGTAGGGCATTGAAAATAGGCTAATAGGCTCTGGTGTCAGAAGAGCTGGGTGCTGGCGCCTCTCTTGGCATGTCCCATCTGAGGGGTTTTTTGCTAGTAGGTAAGGACGATACTTTCATTTGCAAAATGGTCACAACCCCATACCTAGCTTACAGGGTGATTGAGGGAATCAAATCAGATAACTCAAGGTATCTGACACAAGGAATGATTATCAAGATTTATTATGTTTGAGGGTACGATTGCGTGTAAGGGTAGACACGTTTTAACTCTTCACGTTATGGGACAGAACCACTATAATTCATTTTTGCCCAATACAAGATCACACTTAAACATTCCAACTTAATAAAGAGCCTTTGGAGGAAGAAGGAGAAGGGGAGGAGAAAGGAAAAACAACTCACCGATACAAATGCTTGAGATTTGGTTTCATTCAACTGAAGTTGCAATTTCTTTTCATTGTCATAGACTCCATAGAGTCTTTTGGACCAGGTTTGAGGCACTCTGCTTTTGAATTTTAATGAACTATATAGAGCAAATATCCTTTGTAAGTCTAGGACCAGGCAGCTGCAGTTGTAGAAGATGACACCGAGTTCTTTCATCTGTGAAATTAAAATTGAAAGCATCAATGCCACATGTGTCTTACGCTGTTATTTTCAGAAAAAAATGAATGCATAAGAATGAGGTAGTTGTGACATCTCTTTTCTTGCATTTGAAGTAAGTAGATATAGTTACATTATGGTACATAGAGGTGATATGTTATAAAAATGCTAAATATTTAAGTAAAATTTTGCTTTTTTTTTGTATTAGGTCTCTTGCAGATAATTTTCTTATATTCATCTATACTTATATCAGCTCTTCAGATTTGTTTCCTTAACACTATTTTGTTTTGTATGAATCATTAAATCAGGTGGCAAGAAAAAGGTCGATTTTAATTGCAACATAATAGAATGACTGGAATCATGGATTCTGGAGTCAGACTGCCTGGATTTAGGTTCTGTTAATAGCTCCACAACTTTCTAGCTGTGCGACTTTGAACAGCATACTTAATTTCTGGGCCTCAGCTTCTTCTTCCATAAAATAGAGATAATAGTATTTATTTCATATGTTGCTATGAGAATTAAAGTGGTTAATACATATAAGAAGCTAAGAACAGTGTCTATCACATGGTAATCACTAGCAGTATGTTAGAAATTATTATTCTTATTAACGTTCCACAAGCCTTAAGAGTAATAGACCAATAGAATCTTAAAAGACCACAGAGATCATTTTGTCCACCTCTCTCAAGGGATAGATGAGGAAAGTAAAGCTCACACAAATAAATAAAAATATTAGCCCCAAGTTAGAGATTTAGTCAGTGGTAAATAAAGAATTGAGTGCAGGTTTTCTGACCCCTAATCAAATACACTCAGGAACACAGCTATACTGGCTTCAGTTGAGTCCAGTATCCCTTTGCAAAAATGACAGATGATTTTTAATTTAGTCAATGAAACTATACAATGTGAAATTTTGGTCATTAAGGAACAGCACACAAAAATACATGCTTTCTATGACTTGAACACCCAGTGAGGGGTTATTAGGGAAACCTTGGCTCTCTCAAGTCCTGAGGTCCATTGATAGTAAACTCCCTTTTTACCCCTTCCTTAAGCCCCTCGCCAAGACTCTTTACTCAGGATGATAGCAGAGGTCATCTACCATGTATGAACCTGTCTCTCTTTGCTCTGAGGACTCCCCAGTACAACGTGCCCTGGAGATCTTTCCACGTTCCTCTGTACAGATCTGTCATCCTTTTCCAGCTCCCCGGTAACCACAGGATAGATGGACACAAGTGGTTTAACCCACTGATGGACTTCATTCCTATACTTTCCCTAATGCAAAAAATAAAACAATGAGCATCCTCATATACCTTTGTCATCTTTAATATAGGCTCCTAGAATGAGATGTACAGACACATTAAGGACTATTCGCAGTTAAGTGAAAGGAGATAGAGCAGGTAGGACATATCAGGCATGTGCAAAAGCACGGAGGCTAACCAAGGAGGTGAAAGACCTCTACAAAACACTGCCAAAAGAACAGATGACACAAACAAATGGAAACACATCCCATGCTCATGGATGGATAGAATCAATATCGTGAAAATGACCATACCGCCAAAAGTAATCTACAGATTCAATGCAATTCCCATCAAAATCCCACCATCCTTCTTCACAGAACTGGGAAAAACAATTATAAAATTCATATGGAACCAAAAACAGCCCGCATAGCCAAAGCAAGACTAAGCAAAAAGAACAAATCTGGAGGCATCACATTACCTGATTTCAAACTACACTATAAGGCCATAGTCACCAAAACAGCATGTTACTGTTATAAAAATAGGCGCATAGACCAATGGAATAGAATAGAGAACCCAGAAATAAGCCCAAATACTTACTGATTGTTGACAAAGCAAACAAAAACATAAAGCGGGGAAAGGACACCCTATTCAACAAATGGTGCTGGGATAATTGGCAAGACTCTGTAGGAAAATGAAACTGGATCCTCATCTCTCACCTTGTACAAAAATCAACTCAAGGTGGATCAAGGACTTTAAGACCTGAAACCATAAAGAGTCTAGAACATAACATTGGAAAACTGCTTCTAGACATTGGCTTAGGCAAGGATTTCATGACCAAGAACCCAAAAACAAATGCAATAAAAACAAAAATAAATAGCTGGGAGTTAATTAAACTAAAGAGCCTTTGCACGGCAAAAGGAACAGTCAGAAGAAAAAAAAGACAACTCACAGAGTGGGGGAAATCTTCACAATCTATACATCTGACAATGGACTAATATCAAGAATCTACAATGAACTCAAATTAGAAGAAAACAACCCCATAAAAAAGTAGGCTAAGGACATGGATAGACAATTCTCAAAAGAAGGTATGCAAATGGCTAACAAACATATGAAGGAATGCTCAACATCACTAATGGTCAGGGAAATACAAACCAAAACCACAATGTGATACTACCTTACTCCTGCAAGAATGGCCTTAATCAAAAAATCAGAAAATAATAGATGTTGGCATGGATGTGGTGAACAGGGAACCCTTCTACACTGATGGTGGGAATATAAACCAGTACAACTACTATGGAAAACTGGAGATTCCTTAAAGAACTAAAGTAGAACTACCAATGGATTCAGCAATCCCTCTACTGTGGTATCTACCCAGAGGAAAAGAAATTATTATACGAAAAAGATTCTTGCACATGCATGTTTATAGCAGCACTGTTTGCAACTGCAAAAATGTGGAGCCAACCCAAATGCCCATCAATCAACGACTGGATAAAGAAACTGTGGTATATATGCATATGTTGGAATACTACTCAGCCATAAAAAGGAATAAACTAATGGCATTCGCAGCAACCTGGATAGGATTGGGGCCTATTATTCTAATGGAAGCAACTCAGGAGTGGAAAACCAAACATCATATGTTCTCACTCGTAAGTGGGAGCCAAACTATGAGGATGCAAAGGCATAAGAATGATACAACAGATTTTGGGGACTAGCGAGAAATGGGGGAAGGGAAGGGGGTGAGGGACAAAAGGTTACAAATTGGGTTCAATGTACATTGCTTGGGTGATGAGTGCACCAAGATCTCACAAATCACCACTAAAGAACTCGTGTAATCAAATACCACCAGTTGCTCAAAGACTTATGGAATATAAATAAATAACAAATATAACTAAATCAATGCTATTCAAGCCTAGTAGAGCCAGAGATAGGCCCCCATGAAAGTAGATATCAAGGGAATCATTTGACTTTTGAGTCCAAAAGGCAAATTCAGTGGCCATAATTCACTTTTACTATGTTCAGATCTCTTTGATTTCCTTTGGTGTCTCCACATCAGACCCGTGATGTTTTCAGGTCGTTTGCTCACACATGGCAAACATTAATGCTTGGAAAACTGTTCAAAGCTTGGATGAGAATATGCTATTTAAAGTCGGGCATGGGAGGATTGTTTGTTCAAAAGCAGTCTGGGCAACAGAGCGAGACCCTATCTCTACAAAAAAAAAAAAAAAAAAAAAAAAAAAAAACTTAGTGTGGAGGCAGAAAACTGTAATCCCAGCCACTTGGGAGACCGAAGTGGGAGGATCTCTTGAGCTCAGGAGTTCAAGGCTGCAGCGAACAGTGATTGCCCTACTGCACTCTAGCCTGGACAACAGAGCAAGATCCTGTCAGAAAGGAAAGAAAGAAAGAGAAAGAAATAAAACCATGCTATTTCCCTATCCACCTTGTTTCTCGGGAGTATTTGTCTGCTAATCTTCATGTGGACGTTTGCCCTCTCTACTGAGGCTGGGGCAAATGAAAGCTAAAGGCCGTGGCTGTGGATCAAAGCAGCTGCCCCTCCCACACTCCCTGCTGACTTTCTCCTGATGTGTAGAATGATATTAAATGAAGTAGTCACAGCACGTTCAGGCTGCTGTTGAAGACGAAAAGCAAACAAAAACAACTATTGCAAACTCCACCGATCTGAAGAAAGACACCTGCTCTTCAATATGATAGGACGCGATTATTCTGGATAACTTTTATTTTGAAAATTGACACCCAGAAGGGTACCAGGATGCCAACTCTGATAGCTCCTCCCTGGCCAGGGGGCACAGGAACTAGAGAGAGACCAATATGGCCTAGTTAGGACATAGCAAGTCACCTATAGAGCAGGCTGTGGAGACAGACTAGGCAAGGCACTTCAGCTCTTCACTTTCTCCATCCAAAGATTGGTGTATTTCATAAGATTGCTGTGAAGAATAAATGAAAAGGTGCAGGCAAATATTAGCTCAGTACCTGGCTCAAACCACATTAGCTAATGGAAAATTGGGAAAAGTAACATAAAAATGCTTCTGTAATGGCACCATAATTCTGAGTGATGTTTGACCCTTTAGGTAGGATCAGATGGAGGAAAGAATATGAACATTCTCACCATGTGTCTACCCCAAGACTCTCCTTATAAACCACTGATCACCATCAAGATGCAAGTGGGCACCGTCTCCCTGGGCACTGTCTAGATTTTTTCCGGTTTTTAATAACTTTGTTCTAAACAAAGATTTAGTGTTACATTTCCCCTGTCGCATAAACTAAGCTGCAGGCTTGCTGTGAGGTTTTATTTGCACCCCCTTGACATCATTCCATTCTGTGGCTACATGACAGCTTTAGGATCTGGAGGAAGGGAGGAGGCCAACCACTGCCCTCTAGAGATGTAAAGAGAATTAAATTTCCTCTGAATATCTTCCTCTCTACCCTAGAATGACTCAAGCCCATTTCAAGTTTTACATATTAGTTCAGGCTGCTACTGACGATGGAAAACAAACAAACAAACAAAACAGAACAAAACTGGCTTTTGTTTTGCAGCTTTTTCACCCAGAGCAAGAAATTCAGGACAGATTTATGACAAATTTTAAAATGCTGGCAATGGGAAAAATAATGTAGAGTTCTGGGCTTCTGATGAATTTCTATGTCTAGATTATCAAAGGGAAAAGAAGCTGAAAGTCTGATTGATTTGCTGACAAATTCTTAATTTTTTAAAATAAATGTAAGGGGTACGAGGCAGTTTCGTCATGTGGATAT